TAAAAAAACCAAATACTAAATTTTATTTTATTATTATTATTTAGGCAAGCAATAAACCAGAAAACAAAACTAAATTACCAATGAGATTATTTAAAGATTATTCATCACATGGTTCTTTATATCAAATATTCGAAATTATTCAAACTTTTAAAACTGAAAAAAATATTAAAATGATTGATTTTGCAAATAAAGATACTTTTCTCGAATTATTAGATCAAATTGAAAATGCTTTAGTTGTAAGTATATTATAAAATATTAGGTAAATCTTTAAATTATAAAAAACTAAATATTAATATAATTTTTATAAATAATTAAAAAATTAAAGAAAAATGGTACCTTAAAATATCCAAATGTTTTTATTACTCCAGATATTAAAAATATTGAACAGCTTAAAGGTATTGTCGAAAAACATGGTGGTAAAATAGTTAAAGAATCAAAACAAGCAACACATATTGTAAAACAAAATGAAACAACAACAACAGAAGAAAATAATTTAGAATATCTTAGAACTATCGAACATAAAAACAAATTAAGCTTGGTTCACTGGTGGTATTATCCAGATTCATATGATGCATGGTTACCTAGCAGCGAAGTAGAAGGTGAAGATCCAGAAACAGAACAACATGTTGGTCAATGGTTTGTCACTCCAAGATGGTTAACTGATACAGATATATTTAATGAATGGATGAACGAAATCGACTATGAATTAGACGAAAATACAAATTCAGAATCTGATAGTAATGCCACAAGCTCTGGTGTCCCAAAATCACCAAATCAAAAACTTACTGCTGCTGGTACTGTTCCAAAGAAAAGAGGTAGAAAAGCAAAAAGAAAAACAATTTTAGCAAGACAAGCTGCAGAGGCATTATTACAACAACAAAATGGTGAATCAAATGAGCCAATGAATACTGACGATAAAAATGAAAATGATGAATCACCAAATAAAAAACAAAAAAATGAACACACTGATACTACAGAACAAAAACAACAAGTTCAAGAACAACCAGCTCAAGAACAACAACAACAACCACAACCACAATCACAACAACAACCAACTCCAGAGCAACTACAATTGCTACAACAACAACAACAAATTCAACAACAACAACAATTGCAACAACAACAACAACAACAGCAACAACAACAACAACCACAACAACAACAACCAATGTTAACTCCAATCCAATTACAAATGCACCAAATTCATTTGCAAATGCAACAATTAATCCAACAACAAAAACTTCAACCAGCTTTAGCTCCACAATTACAAATGCAATATCAACAATTCCAACACCAATTACAACAATTACATAACCAACAACTCTTACAACAACAACAACAACAACAGCAACAACATCAACAACAACAGCAACAACAACAGTTATTACAACAACAGCAGTTATTACAACAACAGCAACAAAATCCAATTGGTTATCAAGCAATGTTTGGAAAGCCAGTACCAAATATCCCAAATAATAAACCAACACAACCAGGTCAAACACCAACACAACCAGGTCAAACACCACAACAACAAATTTTAGGTGCAAATAATGTACCAACACCAAATAGACCAAGATCATCATCAAAATCAGGTACTCCATTCAATAGCCAACCAATTTCATCAGCACCATCATCAACAGACTCAACTAGTGCCACAGCTACCAATCCAAACGGTAATTTAATGCCAGCTCATCCAAATGGGGCACCAACTAGTCCAAATCAACAAACCAATGCACCTGCACCAACTACAAAGAATGTTGGTTTACAATCATCATTCACAGTTCCACCAACACAATGCACTTGGTTCAAAATCGAAAGTATTCATGAAGTCGAAAAAAATCAATTACCCGAATTTTTCACTGGCAAATCACCATCAAAAACTCCAGAGGTCTATAAGGAGTATCGTGATTTTATGATCAATACTTATCTCCAAAATCCATACCAGTATTTAACTTTAACAGCTGTTAGAAGAAATTTAGTTGGTGATGTTTGTTCAATTCTTAGAGTCCATAGTTTCCTTGAACATTGGGGCTTAATAAATTATTTTGTTAATCCAGATGGAGGTGCCTATATACCATTATTGTCAAATACCAATAATGCTAGTTCTAATAATAATACCAGTAATAATAATACAGAATTAAAATCACCAAGCAAAGATTTATCATCACCAACTACCTCGACCACAACAACCACAACAACCACTACCACAACAACCTCAACTACTACTATACCACAACAATCAACTGCCAAAACTGCAACAACATCTAAAAAACCAGCATCAAAACCATTTTCAACATCATTGGATTTAAGACAAAACTTATTTTCACAACCATATAGACACTATTGTAATATTTGTAACCAAGATTGTACATATTCAAGACATCAATTAACTCCAAAACCAACCGAAGAAAGTCATCCATTACAACAACCAATTAATCTTTGTAATGATTGTTTCCAAAAACACGATTTCAAAGATGCAACAATCAAAAAAGAAGATTTCCAAAAAATTGAAATTCCAGAACCAAATGGCATTGCTGATTTTTGGACTGATCAAGAAACTCTTTTACTTTTAGAAGCTTTAGATATCTACAGTGATAGTTGGAATGATGTTGCTGATCATGTTGGCACTAAAACTAAAGAACAATGCCTTTTACACTTTTTACAGCTCCCAATCGAAGATCCATACTTAGAGGATAATATCACAAAATCAGTTTCACTTCAACCATCAAATGACGTCAACAGTATTAAATCATCAAAAGGTATTAATAACGAATTAAACAATCCAATTATTTCATTGGTTTCATTTTTATCAACCTCTGTATCCTCTGAAGTTGCTGCTGCCTCTGTTAAAGCTGCAACTCAAGTATTAAAGAATCAAAACAAGGAAAATGAAATGGATATTAACGATGAAGGTACAGCTGATAATGATAATACCGACGAAGATGATCACTTTACAAATATTCAATCTGCCTCGTCCACTGCCTTAGTTGCCGCATCCATTAAAGCAAAAGCTCTTTCAAAAGCTGAAGAAAAAGAAATCCAATCATTAATCTTAAATATTATCAATGTACAAACTAAAAAATTAGAACTTAAACTTAAATGTTATTCTGATATGGAAGATTCTCTCGAAAAAGAAAGAAATCAATTAGAAAAGGCAAGACAATCATTATTTTCTGAAAGATATAGTTTATTAAAAGCTGCTCATACAAATCAATTAGCCTATCCAGTTTCTTCATATATTGTCACTCCAAATAAATCAAATAATATGGCTAATAATAATAACAATAATAATAGTAATAATAATAATAATAATAGTAATAATAATAATAATAATAATGAAAAGGATAATAATACAAATTTAAACAATATAAATAATATAAACAAAAATAATAGTGATAAAGATATTGAAATGAACTCTACTATTTTAAATAATATTCAATAAATTCAATAATTTTAAATTAAATAACATAATATTTTTTTCAATTATTTAAACAACATAATTTTATTTCTTTAATTTTATTTATTGTCAAATAATAAAGAATTTTGTGAACAGTTTTTTATTATTTATTGACTTTATAAACACGATAATCCTAATCAATGTATTTAATATATTCTTTTCCATTTTCACATTTTTTTAATATAATCTTAAGTTTGGTATTAAATTCTTGTAAAGAAAGTTCGACATTATTAATGCCAGTTATTAACTCTTTGATTTGTGGCTCTGTTAATATTTCCGGTTCTTGATTATCGATTAAATCGGTCTTAGCATTAAATTCGATTTGTTTCTGGTCTATTTTTTTAAAACTATCAGCATCACTAACCATATCACCTATTGGATAAAAGATGATTGAGTGGATCCCAATCAATTTTTTATTTTTTACTTGGCTCTATTATAAAACTGATTTCTTTTTCTTCTTGTAAACTTTCTAGTATTTCTGTTTGTGGAGATTGTAAATCATTTACCATAGTTAAAAGATTATCATGAATAGCTATTAAAAATAAATATTATTAAAAACTATATTTTATTCCTATGCATTTTTAAAATTAAACTGAATGAATATTAGAGTTATAATTATATCTCAACAAAATATTATTTTTATACTTTCCTTTATTTAGATGTAAGTGTATTGGGGAAGATGAAATATCTGTATCTTTGGATTAAACAATAGAAATAGTTACAATACAGATATTATGGTTTGGGATAACTGTAATGTTTTTTAAAATTATGAACAAACCTATTAGTTGTTGTAGAAATAAATTTTATTAGAGTGTAATCTTTTAACCATTAATCACAATAAACTATATGGCTTAATTATTCAAGGACTATAGTAAAGAATATCATATATTTAAACAAAGAGTATCTCAGGCCTATATGAATTGGGTAATTATTGGGGTATCCCATAGAACAGTAATTACAGCAAAGAAGAGTTAGGAAGATTAAAAATAAAATATAATATAAAAAGAATCGTTAAGTTATTGTAAAAAATTTAAATAAATATTTAATTTCTCTTTTAATTATCATTTCAAACTGTAAAATATTATCATCTTTCAATTATTTTATTTTATTAGTTAGTTTATTTAATTTAATAGTCAATTATACTTGACTTTTTATAAAAGTATAGTTATATTATATGAAAAGGGATATTTTTTGTATGGTAATCAATTTTTAAAGTAGAGCATGCATACCAAAATATATCATGTCCGGAACAAAGTGCTATTATTATTTCTTGTGTACTAGTATGATTATCAGTAATTACATGCCTATGAATGTGTATGTGTATGTGTATGTGTATGTGTATGTGTATGATGTGCTATGCATATGTATGTGATTATAGAATGAGCATGTGATTATGTATATAGATGTGCATATGAATGTATATATGTATGAGTATGTGTATAAATGTGTATGTATATGTGAATGTGCATATGTTTTGTATATGCATGTGCAAAAGGTATGTGAATATGTATGAGTATGTATGAGTATGAGTATGAGTATGTGTATGAATATGAGTATGTGTATGTATATGTGTATGTGAGGGTACCTATGTATATGTGTATGGGTATGAGCATGTATATGTACATGTGCATGTTCATATGTACTAGTATGAGTATGTATGTATGTATGAATATTTGAATGTGCATGTGAGGGAATGTATGTGTTTATTAATATGTGTATGCATATACATGCGCAAGCTCATGTGTATATGTAAGTGTATATTTATGATCATGTGCATGTAAATGTATTGGAGTATGTGCATGTATATGTATGTGAGTATGTATGAGAATGTATGAGTGTGAGTATGTGTATGTACATGTGCATAATTATGTGTATATACATGTATATGTGTATGAACATGTTTATGTGCATTTCATGTTCATATGAACTAGTATGAGTATCAGTATGCCCATGTTCATGTATATGTTACATGTGTATATGTTACATGTGTATATGTATATGTATATGTGAATGTTCATATGTATGTAAGAGTATGTATATATGTGCATGTTCATGTGCATGTGCATGTGCATGTTCATGTTCTTGTGAATGTATATATGTATATGTATATGCATCTAGATGCGCACATGCATGTATGCTCATATGTTTTTGTATGTGTATATATTTTTTTTTTAATCCATTATCATTATGATTCAATTTGAATATTCTGATTATGGTCAAATGATTTAATTAAATCATTTATTTATTTATTTAATTTTAATATTTTTGGTTTAATTAATTTTATTATTATTATTTTTCTTTTTTGAAGCCAAGAGGCTTGATCGGAGGTGCTTTGGTAGATTGATCTGAGCTTCACTGTTAGTTGTATCATCTTTGACTGGTTGCGATGATGTATCTACATTGGTCATTGGTTCTATAAAGTTGTTTTGAGGGTTTGAATGACTTTGAGTTCTTGATCTAAACCGATATACTACATCACATTGTGGTTATAATTCTTGTGTTATTAATTTGGTTTGTGACATATTTGGTCAAAATATTTGTTGCCAAATTTCCTACAATTGGTTATTTAATATTTTTTAATATTATTTCATTGATGTGTATGTGGTATTAGAAATTTATATAAATAAGTTTAAATTGATAAATAAAAAATATTTTAAATTAAGACTTGAATTGTTAAAAAAATTTAATTTATTAAGAATATAAACTAAAGAATATAATAGTTTAAGGTTTTTATTATTTTTTAATTTAACAGCATTATGTTGTTATTATTATTGTTGTTTTGATGTTGATGTTGATTTTTTACACTTATTTTGATGTGGTATATGAAAAATAATTATATAAGTTGTCCTTTCCATATTCTTTTTTAGAATCATCTAATAGTTACACATATGTAATAAGGAGCAAAATAACTGGGCCATCCAAAATATACAATAATTTTCTAAAATCTTTCAACTATTTTTCCTTTTCCAATAGTTATTTATCCGATTGTATTTGGCTTTAGTTGTGTGACTATTCCAATTGCTTCAGTTCTTTATACCTAAACATGCTGGTGTTTAATCTGTGAGCTTCCATTATGATGATGAAATTCTTTATTAAGTGGTTTTTGATATTGTTTTCCCTAAATAAAGAAAATAAATAAAAAAATTAAAACTTACCTATAATTTGATTTAATTATTTTATATCATAGTGTTTGATTTAAAACTGGATATTAAAAGTTTAATATTTGATGGTTGTTCTAAATATAAGACCTAAAAAAAAAAAAAAAAAAAAAAAAATTAATTTAAATACTTTAAAAAAAAAAAAAAAAAATTTTTAAATTATTTTTTAATTTTTTAATTTTTTTAAAACAAATTTGGTAAAATTCGCATTTTTTTTTTAAAAAAAATTGGGATTTTTAAGGGTTTTTTTAAAAATTTTTATATGAGGCCGCATAGAAAAAAAAAACTTTAAACCAATATAAC